CAGCACCACCTACAACAGCAACAACAGTTTATGCGCCAACGGCAGATGTTTCTCCAACACCAGCAGCAAAGAGTACAGCACGCCCAGCAGCAGCAACAGCAGGCTCAACAGGCCCAGCAGCAGCAGCAGGCCCAGCAACAGCAGCAACAGCAGCAGACCGGCCAGCAGCAGCCGCAACCGCAACCGCAGCCTCAGCATGCTGGAATCCCGGCCTCCATGCCTAACGGGACCCAGGCGGTCACTTCTGCCCACATGGCCGTCGCCCAGGCTGGCAACCCGGTCATGCACCCGGGCAACCTACCTCCACACATACAGCAACAGCTGCAGGCTCAAAACCATCATAACCAGGCCCCAAATCTGCATCAGCAACAGCAGCACCTCTTTGCTATGCAGATGGCTCATCAAAATAGTGCGGCTGCCCAGGCTCAGGCCCAGGCCCAGGCCCAAGCTCAAGCCCAGGCTCAACAGCAAAACGCACAACAAAGAACCACCCAGGCGCAAGCAATGCATGATTCCCAAGGTGGTACTCCCCATCCACAGCCACAGCATCAACAACCTCCGGGAACTAGTGCTCCTTCTCAGCAACCGGGGATACCTCCAACCTCGCAGGCCGGGCCTCAGCAGCAACAGCAGCAACCACAGCAGGGACCCACTCCGCAGCCTACCCCGGGCCAACACGTAGGCCCACCACAGCAGCTGGCCGGTCCAGAGGGGCAAATGCGAATGGCCCAACAGCAGGCTGCGATGCAGCAGATGATGATGCCGCAGCGCATGCCAAACCCCATGAAGGGTTCATCCATATTCAGACTATTCTCCTTTGCCGAGAATCTCAGTGGCTATTCTGTAAGACCATGACGCTTTTTCTCTCACATTATTCCCTATACTAATCAATCATTCTCTCCTCTTTTTAGAATCGCAATCCTGCACCGGGATTGCCATATTGGCAGAACTTTGTAGAACAGTTCTATGCTCCTAACGGGGTTCTACGCCTGGTTGTTTTCAATGCTCAACGTGGGACGAAACAATTTGAAATCTCGACACCTGCTCTGGCTCGGTACTACTGGACACAGTTCACCAGCGGGATAAAACAAATCCAGATGATTGTTGAAAATGTGGCGGAAAAGGACCTACCTACTGGTGGCCAGATCGTAGAAAGCCAAAAGACCTCGTTTATATACTGGTTTGAAAATGGATGCCAGGTACTACTACCACACCCCCATATTTATTGTTAATTTGACTAACGAACGGTTAGCTTGTTTCTACCGGAACTCTGGTAGCCCAATATGGTCCAACGGGCAAGATAGAACTTCTGGATATCGGCACAGGTGGCCATACTGAATATATACCTCGTCACCAATTGCAACCTCCACCATCCCCAGAACAGAAGCAAAGCCCGAGGATGAGCAAACCCATGACCAAACGGCAGAAACTCTCCGCTACCCCATCCGTGGCCATACCGGATTCTATGGTCACAGATGACGGCGTGCCTGTGGCAGTCATGAGCTTCTTAGAGGTCGGTTCCCTCCGTACCTTTCAAGCAGGAAATGAAAGCTGACTTTAGTTTGTAGGTCGCTGAAATCATATCTCAAATGCAATACCTCTTCCAATATTCCCTACAAAACCCTCACCTATCCCCTCCAGATGCCCTTCACCAACTCGTCAGCACATTCTCCCAGCAAAATCCAACTCTCGGCATTAACTCTATGCCACCTGGCCAACGCACTCCAGGTGTCAACGGTACTAATAACCAATTCGCCTCTCCTGCCGTCGGCCACTTGGGCATCCCCGGTGTCCAGGGATCCCCCCACATAGGCGGGCCAACTCATACGCCCAGCCCAGCCCAAAACCCTGTTGCCGGTCCTGTAGCCATGGCAGCCCAGCAGAGTCAGCAAGGCACCAACACCAGTGGTAGCCAAGGCACCAGTGCCAATACCAGTCCAAACGTGAACAATAAACGTCGTCGAGCGAGTACCGTAAAGACGGAAGGGGATGACAATGCATCTTCCATGGATGTCAACGGTGCTACGCAGGGGAACGCCAATAAAGTGAAAGCCAGTCCGAGAGTCGGTGGTAAGAGACAGAAAGGAACCAGTTGATCCTAATTGACCATGAGCCGGATTTATCCTCGCCAATTAACAAAACTATATAAAAACCCCCACCGACTGGCTGATGAAGCCCAAGCTTGCCGTGCTAAGCTATCCCGTGCTCCCACTTCCATCTCGACACTAACCATTCCCTCTTCGTACCTATCGGCATCATCTCAAAGAGATTTGTAACTATTGTCCTTTCCGTCAATACAATCTGAACATCTCAGCGGTCCGCTCTCCTCCTTTTCACTGCCTATATTCGCAACTCCCTGTCTGCCGCTTACTGTTCTTCTACCTGCTCATCGTTCTTCTTCTGGAAGCTCTTCGTTTATCATTTTACACCCGCTTGGCCTACTAGCGTATGAATCCTCTCCTCTATCTCTTTTTTACTTCATCCTCCCTACCCTGTGTCTTAACCTACCTTATCTTGTTCTATTCTGTTTCCCAACAGAAGGTGTTTGGAGTTAGCGTTTTGTGTCTTTTACTCTGCTTTTCTAAACTTGCCATATCTCTTTCTTGCTCGGCCTTCTTGGACTTTGTGCTTTTCTGCTGTTTGGATATGCCGTGGCCGCGCCGTGTGATGGATGCATGATATGCTCGCCTGCTTGATTGCTTGCCTTCTTGCTTACCTTTACGTCCCCCTTTTTTGATCCCCCTTTTTTTGGAGTAGACGGCGAGGCGACGGTGATGATAATACATTCAGATCTTTGTTCTAATATAATTCTATTATTTTTGGAACCTTTCTTTCTGGCCCCCACAATGACCATCCTTGTTTCTCCATCCCCTGATCTACGAATTAGCCGGGAAGAGTTGTTATCATCTCGGTGTCGGTGCTTAGCCGCGGCAGTTGCGGCTCCCGGCTTTATCAACAACCATGCTGTCATCACAACTGCCAACTTTTCGACCCACGCCAACTCTCTACAACGGTAGAAGCAAAGTACAGACGGACGGACGGATCACGGACAGCCGGCTACAATACACTCCTTATCCTGGGAAATAATAAGAACATTTGCCATGTCGCACTCACACTCGCACGATCATTCGCACGATGCGACTAACCATGGTCATACTCACGAGATCCTTGAGGGGCCGGGCTCGTACATCAGTCGCGAGAAGCCGCTGGTAGAGAAGCGCGACTGGAATGACAGAGCCTTCACCATTGGAATTGGCGGGTTCGTTCACTTGCTTGTTTATTTACCAGGTCTCACCGTCTCTTCCGTGCTAGTTGTTCAACTAGGCTTGCATTGGCAAAGCTTGAATCGCGGGGATGGAGAAGATACGAGATCGAGTTCAATCAATTAAGAGGGGATCGTGACTGACAGCAGACATTTGCATTCAGGCCGGTAGGGTCGGGCAAGACAGCATTGATGCTGGCACTGTGCATGGCCTTACGTGACGAATACAACATCGCAGCTGTCACAAACGATATCTTTACCCGGTATGTTGTGGTGACCCTTGAGCCGAAATGGTGGGGATGATACTAATTACACCTGGGCTATAGAGAAGATGCAGAATTCCTTACTCGCAACAAAGCACTTTCTCCATCCCGTATCCGTGCCATCGAGACAGGAGGATGCCCTCATGCGGCTGTCCGCGAAGACATAAGCGCCAACCTGCTTGCTCTCCAACAACTCCAGCGCAAGTTTAAGACCGATCTTCTCCTAATCGAGTCCGGCGGAGATAACCTTGCCGCAAATTACTCTCGTGAACTGGCTGACTTCATTATCTACGTCATTGATGTTGCTGGCGGTGACAAGGTGCCTCGTAAGGGCGGGCCAGGAATCACAGGCAGTGACCTGTTGGTGGTCAACAAGATTGACCTTGCGGAGGCCGTGGGTGCCGACCTTGATGTCATGGAAAGGGATGCTGCAAAAATGAGAGAAGGCGGCCCCACTGTCTTTGCTGTGGTGAAGCAGGGTAAAGGCGTTGAACACATTGTCGATTTGATATTGAGCGCCTGGAAGGGCAGCGGAGCTTACGACGTGAGCTTGGAGAGATGGAAGAACGGTGCTCCGAAAAACTCCGGCTCCGTAGATGAGTGAAGCACAGATGTGATGTTCATTGAACTCAGCCATTTTGCAGGCTTGAAGGATGTTCATGAATTGTATTTATTCAAAATAGCTATTCTATAGCCATGCAACGCCGTTCAATCATGCAAGCAGTATGACAAATGTACAAGCATCATAAACTCCATGGGTATTATTTTTTTCAAAGAAACCAGCAGACAAGCAAAGAATCGAAGGAGAAGAGAATTCTACTTCTTCACGAACCTCTCTAGTGCCGGCCCCAAGGCCTCTCTCCCCCTGCGGCGTTTCTCCTTCAATCTCTCGTTCTGTTCCTTTCTCATAGCCTCAACCTTCAGCCTGTTTTCGTCTATGATATTCTTGCCTCCTCGTTTCCGAAGATACTTCCTCAAGGCACTATTTCGTCCTCGGCCACGATTCTTTAGTTTTTCAGCAATATCTTCCTTCTTCTTATCCAGGTCTCTGGCTTCCCGTCGAGCCTTGTCACTAGTCAAATCAAGATTACCAACGAAATCAGGATTGAGAGAGATCATCTCAGGTTGTAACTTCGTTAACAAAGACTTGACTTCAGCTTCTTGTCGCTGCTTGGTAGTTTCGTAAGGGTTGACTTCCATTGCGTCGAAGTTAGGTTCGCCAGCCCCAGGTACAATCATGCTTGAGAAGCCCTTGTCGTGCGCTATGCCGAGCACATCCTCATATGGACACCATCGTATGCCCTCAACACGCTGTCCTTCACCTCCCCATGCCATGTAAGGACTCTTGACCTTCTCCTGGTCTTCCCGAGCGGCTTGAAACAACCCTTTCCACACGCTGACTTGAGTTCCCCAGCCAACTCCCGTTAGACCTCGATCACTAATAGCCACCGTCGAACCAGGTTGATGCACATAGTATGAATGCACCTCTTTGAACATTCGGATATCCCATACAGCCATTTTCTGGTCCTGGCCTGTTGATACCATGTACCGGCCTTGTTTATCCACGGCGACTGACCGTACCGGGCCACGGTGGACTAGAGCTTTCACCAATGCGGTCTGTGAATTTGGAGACCACAGGCTGACGGTTCCATTCTGATGTCCAACATGTAGGATGGCATTATGAGGGTTCTGGCATAGGGAGGTCGGACTTCCCTTTCGAGTTGGTATTTCAGCAACCAGTTGACCGGTTGAGGTGTCTGTGTATTTCAAAAACCCGCTCATCCCCTATATAGCGCATTATGATTAGCACAAGAAAAAGAACGTAAAGTAAGATCCAAGATAAACATACCACACTAGCGAGAAGGAAGTGATATGGTAGGAATTCAAGATGTGTTGGCTCAACATGCTTGTTCAGACAATGTATCTCAACGCCAGAATGATCGTATATATAAACGTATTTCTTCTGCGCAACCGCAAAGAACTGGTCGTTATGTAGCCACCTCGCATCCCTCACCGTCTCACCAAGTTGTAACTCGCAACCCAGCTTGCCTTCTCTCCAGTCCATCGTAGCAACATGGCCCTTTCTCCCAGCCAACAGAAGCTTCCGTCCATTGCGGGTGTAGTCCGCCTTGTACGGCCCCAGATCTTCCAATTTTAGTTCGAATCCGTTCTTCGCGACTTCAATGCCGACATTCTCTTTTATCTCATCTTGTCGTACTTTATATGTCCGTTCAAGCTCTCCCTCCGCCTCGATGAATCCTGCCTCGTTCTCAAGGAGCAGCTCCGAGTCCTTCGCCTGGAGAATCGCATTCTTGTACTTGGTCTCGAGGCTCTTCAGGTTACTCCGTAGTTTCTTGTCCCTGACAGACTTCACTGCGACCTGCTTGCCCCGTCCGTATGTTTCTTGCGCTTCGGCGAACTGCTTCCTGGCTTCGCGGTCTGCTGCAATGTCCGCTTTTGACCGTTTTGCGGCGTCTTTTTTCGCTTTAGCGACCTCCATGGCCATGGCTACCGCAGCACCAGCAGCAACTTAGCCCACGCCTTTGAAATATAACAATAAAAGCTGTCTGAATCTTTCCGTCTTCCTTTTATATCATTTCGAGCTTTCAATTCAAACTAAAAAAGAAAAAAAAAAATTAGAAAATAAAAAAAGCGCCAAGATTTCGCCCACAGAAAGATAAGATCTCACGTGATCTTATCTTTTACACAGAAATTATTTTTTTATATTTTTATGTTTTTTTGTGACGACGAAGAAAGACGAGAAACAAAGACGAGGAGAAAAGACGGTTATAGACTTGATACAGCTATCTCTGCAGTGGATTGCCCAAGCTGGACTCGCTACCGTTTAGATTCAAGGGCTCAGGGCCAGGCAAGATGGCCCCCATGGCGGTGCCAACCGAGCAGCACCACCACCGGAACACAACGAAGAAGGCGAACAAAGTCTTCAAGTCCAAGCATATGACCAAGGGCGCTCTGAAAGATCTCTCTAAAGGTGTGTAGCGCATTGGGATAGTGCGAAGATACCAGCTGACAGTCAATTAGGGAAAATCGGGATCGAGAGGGGCAGCCGAAAGACCCCCCACCAGCAGCTCATGTCGAAAATGCAGAGGCGAAACCAGGCCGAGCAGAAGAAGAGACTGAAGTCTAAGGCGAAGTCTGAGGCCGTCAGCATATTTTCCGGCCAGCATGGCGCTCCCAGGCATGTGGCGGTCATACCAGTTTCAGAGGGGGTGGACGTGGATGCGGCAGTGTTACGGCTCAATCAGAGCGTTGACGTGCCCGATAACGAAAGTTACAGTGGCATATGTCGAGTACGCATCGACCGGTTCAAGCAGAGTATTACATATATCCCCGCTACGAGGGATCTGATCAGCGCATTGGATGTTTGCCGGCTGGCTGATTTCGTTGTGTTTGTGGTTTCTTCTGATGCGGAAGCATTGGATGAAACCGCCCAGGTACTTCTCAAGGCAGTAGAAGGCCAGGGCATCTCCAACGTCATGGCACTTGTACAGGTATGTGGTATTCATTCTCAGCAGCTTAGGCGATGAAACTGACATTTATACCTATCAGAGACTTGAGACAATACCAACACCGAAGAAGAGGACACAAGTTGTAACATCACTAAAGTCCTCACTAACACGGTACTTCCCTAGCCTTGATAAAGTCCACTCTCTCGACTCTAGGCAGGATTGTTCGAACGTCATTCGCGGCCTTTGTACTGCAACTCCAAAGGGTATACATTGGAGGGATGATCGAAGTTGGATGTTGATCGAGAATGTAGAATGGCCTGCTTCTTCAGCTGATGAAACAGGTGACGTTGTGATCACCGGTGTAGTTCGAGGGAAAGGTCTCAAGGCGGATCGATTGGTACACATCCCAACATGGGGAGATTTCCAGGTATCATCAATCACTAAAGTGCCGCCTCCGTCGCGCAAGAAGGAGGATGCAATGAATATTGATGATACCGTGAATGAGGAAGTTTTGGATGAACCGACCGAAGATGCTGAGGATCTCACTACGGTAGCTCCCGAGGAAGTGTTCATGACAGATGATACCCCTTCAATGCTTGGGCAGGAGAGAAAAGGTGTACTGCTTGACGATCACCATTATTTTTCAGATGAAGATGAACCAACAGCATACGAGGTGCCTAAGAGAATACCCCGTGGTACATCAAAGTACCAATCAGCCTGGTATCTTGATGACTTTTCTGACTCGGGGTCTGATCTCATGGACGGAGAGCATGATGGTGATGAGGAGATGATGGATGTGGAAGAAGGCCGGCCTGAGGATGGCGTTTTCCCTGATAATAGAGATGCCATGACCGAAGGTGGCGGTACTGAATACCCGCAGTCCGAGATGTTCCTAGATCCATCTCCAGAGGAAGAAGCCAAACAGATAGAGGAGTACCGAGCCAGCAAGAAGAGCGAGGCTCAGGAGGACCTCGAGTTCCCAGACGAGATCGAGCTCCATCCTAACACATTAGCGAGAGAGCGTCTGGCCCGATACCGTGGTTTGAGGAGCCTCAAGACTAGCAAGTGGGAAACCGAGGAGGACAGGGCACACGAACCAGAGGACTGGCGCCGTCTGCTGCAGGTACCGGATTACAAAGGAGCACGTAATCAGTGTATACGGGAGGCTCTTGTTGGCGGCGCAAAGCCTGGAACCAAGGTGCACGTACATCTCCGAGCGGTCCCAATGGGCCTGCAGCAACGTAACCCATCCCCTCTATCTCTCTTTTCCTTGTTGCGTCACGAGCACAAACATGCGGTTGTCAATATCAACATGACCCTAAACTCCACGGTGGAGGCACCCATCAAGTCAAAGGAAGAGCTGATCTTCCAATGCGGCCCTCGTCGACTGCTCGTCAAACCCATTTTCTCCTCCGCAGGGACAACACCCAACAATGTTCACAAGTTCGATAGATTCATCCACCCTGGCCGCAATGCAGTAGCTAGCTTCATCGGCCCTGTATCCTGGGGCTCCATCCCCGTACTGGTCTTCAAACGCACGTCTGTGGCTGACCCCGAAGTACTCGATGGAAGCGACGAAGCCAACACCAAGCCCGGTGCCCTGGAGCTCGTCGGAACCGGGACGTCTATGGCCCCAGACCACTCTCGCGTGGTAGCCAAGCGAGTCATCCTCACCGGCCACCCGTACAAGATTCACAAGAAGCTGGTCACTGTCCGCTACATGTTCTTCAATGCAGAGGACATTGCCTGGTTCAAAGCCCTGCAGCTCTGGACCCGACGTGGACGCACTGGCTACATCAAAGAGAGTCTGGGAACCCACGGCTACTTCAAGGCCACGTTTGATGCAAAGATAAACCCACAGGATTCTATTGGAATCAGTTTGTACAAGCGAATCTTTCCCCGGAAGGCTGTGGAATGGGACGCTCTTGGTTAAGGGGTGAGAAAGTTATGCACAGGTCCACCGGTTAGTTAATGGCAGTTTCTTGGGATGTTTTAACATTATAATGAGCAATGATACAACGCCAAAGGTTTAGATACTCGATTCGATATCAATAGAATCTTCTTTTTTGTCTGTTCATCTTCCTTTCGTCTGATCTTTCCACCCCCTTTTATTGGATTGGAAGTAGTTAACTATCACATGACTGCTCAACGCCGTCTTCATCTTCAGCGTCAACTTCGACTTCATCAAATATCAACATCGCCGACAACCGAAATGCCGTCTTCATTCCAGTCCCACCGAGATGCTCGTCCGGTTGTTCTGGCCGGCCAGAAACTGCTGGGCCGCAGCCAACAAGCTTCGGGCATCAAACCACGGGCTGAAAGCTGCAGCTCTACTATCCTTGCCTGCGCCTAGTGGGACTTGTTCTCAATCCTTCTGCAGCTGTTCCCTCACCCGCAAGGACCGGAGCGCTGGCGCGTCTCTTTATATATCCTCCCTTCGATATATAACTAGCGGATGCGATGCTATCCGCTCCTTTCGTTGCTCTATATCCTGCTCGGTTTTTCTTTTCCTGCCCTGCCATGCGTGCAGGAAGGCGGAACCCCTGCCCGGCGTCTGTGTTTTATATTCCAGCTCAAGGAGCTGGGTAAATATATAAGCCTCTGCTCTCTCTTTACCTCTGCTTATCTCCTGATATCCCTTCCAGGCCTGTCTCCAGTTTGATCCTTTCGTTCCTGGGACGGGACTGAGCCTCCTACTGCTAACTATATCATTAGCGCTATCGTTATACACGCCAATTGACCTAGGATTAACTAGTCTACCCCCATCGGCTGGAGGAAGATGACGGTGTTACCCGCCCTTCGTTCGCGCGGTTTCGTCGCTTCACGGCCTCCACGAGTTGATCTAGACGAAACTCCGCCTCTTCTACCTAGGAAAAGCCAGGAGCATGGCGCCCTCACGCTCTCCAACAAGGAGGTACCGCATTGGCTGGGAGAAAGCAATTATATCTTGACTGGCTACCGAGTTCCATGCAATTCGACCGCTCGTTGCTTCTACAGCTGGTTCTACCTCCACAATGAGACCGTCAACATCTACACTCATCTTATCCCCGCCATTGGATTTGCCGCTGCAGAGGTTTTTGTTTTCCGGCACTTCGAGACTCTCTACCCTGAAGCTCCGGTGGCAGATAAAGCGGTCTTTTCACTCTTCCTGCTGACTGCCATCATGTGTATGAGCTGCTCGACATTGTTCCACACATTCATGAGCCACTCCGAGAAGGTGGCCAAGGCATGCCTGCGTGCCGACTATATGGGAATTGCAGGGCTGATCTTCGGTGACATCATCTCCGGTACTTATGTGGTGTTTTATAGCGACACAGTATTGTGGGCTATTTACTGGACAAGTGTAAGTCCTTCCTTACCCTTACGACGAGGACACCTAGCTTATATCAGGTTCTTTAGGCATTTGTGTTCAGCTCCTTAACATGCATGATATTATTCCACCCGAAATTCGAAGGTGAGGAGTACCGAACCTTTCGTGCGTGGACATTTATCTGCACCGGATTGTCTTCACTAGCACCTCTGATGCATGCCAACATACTTTATGGCCTTGAGGAAATGATGGAACACGGCGGGCTCCCGTATTACCTCCTCGAAGGTCTGTTGCACATAATTGGGGTCGTCTTCTTCGTGGTGAGCAATCTTCCACTTCTCTTCCTCCTTAATATTACTTGCGTGATTTTGCATTCTTTTCTAACTTCAGTTCACGCTATGGGGACATCTCCGTCGCTTTCCCTTCTTGCCTGACCCATGTAGGGTGGGGGGAGGGGAAAGCGGGCGGACAAGTCCCTGGCCCAGGATACGGTTACATGTATGTCTTGGGCTTGTGATGTTTTCGAGATATTCAGACCCGCATCCCAGAGTCTCTGAGACCAGGGAAATTCGATATTTGGTTCAATTCGCATCAGATATTCCACGTCTTGGTCGTGCTGGCCACTATATCGCAGGTTATCGGGATCTGGAGCGCCTATGACTATAAATACCACACTGAGATAAGTCTGCTACATAGACCTCAATCACTGGCTGGGTGAAATGGAGCCACACTGAGGGAAGGTAAAGAAAGAAAGCAAATATCCGTCATGGTTGGATGCAGATGGTCCTGAAGAGCCGGTTGGAGTGAGTATATTAACAACTCTGATATCATTAGCAGCCCGCAGTGGTTAAGATTTTCGCTAAGCTATCTCGAACAGGAAGGACGATGCAGGCCCTAGATAGAACATAAAAAAAGTGCGAAAAGCCTAAGAACCCCGAATATATATTTCCAACATGCAAAAAAAAATTGCCTGGAAATGGACAAAAAAAAAGGCACCAGATGAGAACCTATGATGGTCCCAGAGAGGGTCGAACTCTCGACCTTCGCATTAACTTCATATTAGTACGACGCTCTAACCAACTGAGCTATGGGACCTTGACATGCCGTGGCAAACGCGGCAGTTGCATTTCTTCGCCGCTGAGTGGATCGGCTATCAGAGTGGGCCTCCTTATATTATGGGTGATAATTGATAGCCAGCGAGGTGGCAGACGTGGCAGTAATATAATTTGAAAGAATAGATATTATTATCGATCTAATTTCTTGAGAGTGTATCTCTATGCTGTTCCTGACACCGTCGTAGGAGGGCAATTAATGGTTATCTTCAAGTTGGATACCGTCCATTCTAGCATTCAGAAGCCGCTGTCTGGTCATTTCTTCAATATCCCGCTCTAACTGTTCAGGTTCAATGTCGGGATACGGACATTCATTCGTGTCTGACGAGTCATCAAGTTCAATATCATCATTGTCAACCATCATTATGCCGGTAGGAGCCTCGTCATCTGTATCGTCAGTGTGGTCACCTTCAGCCCCGTCGACGGCAGTGCCTGCAGTAGCTTCGATACCAGTAGTGGCAGTGGCAGTGGCAGCCCCAGAGAGAGTACCAGAACTAACCACCACACTAGGTCCAGTCCTTGGTTGACGCTCCTGTACCTTAATGGCAGCCTTCTTGGTACCAGTACCTGATGTCTGGGCAGCTCTAGCGGTAGCAATCCTCTCCTCCTCAAGGTTCTTCATCTCCTCCTCGTTAATTTCAAGCTTATGCTCCTGTCTCTGTATCTCACGTTCATCTAGATGATCAAATCCGATACGCTGCAGTATCTTGCCAATTGAAAACTGATACTGTAAATGGCCGCTGACGATACCGGTGACGTCGTAGTTCTCCACGCCTTGGATATCAGATATAGCTTCAAGACCGGCAATGTCAAGCTGCATGCTGTTTGCGCGGTAGAGGAACTGGAGGATTCCATCGTTTTCCGAGTAGACGTTGACAAGTCTGCCACTGACAACGGATCGCATCAGTCGCCAGTGGGAAGTGGTAGACGGGGTAGGAGAGCCGATCAAAATGGCAGACTCTACTAGACCGAATGCCCGTCGCTTTGCAAGGGCGATGAGGCAGGAGAAAATGACGCGGGCTCCGAGTGAGTATCCTATTAGAGTGACTGATCTCTCGCCCTGAGCTTTGTTGATAAGGGCTTCTGCGAGGATCTGACCTGCCTTGTCCGCACGTACTTTGGCAACGTTAAAAGGGTTGTCGAGGATGTATGAAATTTTCGAGATGGTGACGGGGAGCATTACTGCTCCTACGATGGGAGCAAGAGCTGTTTTGCTAAGTACGGTTCTTCCAGCAACTGTCCAAGCAGTATTCCTAACGAAGGTCGTCAGGGAGCTGCCTAATCGTAGGAGAGCCTGCAGCTCCCATCGAAGAGCAAAAACGTCTGAATCGGGGCCAAGAACTCGCCATGGTTCCACCACGTCCTTGCCTTCGGTAAGCCAGCCGCTGATTCCAATAGTTACCCTGAGTCTATTGTCAGAAGACGGGGGCCTTGCTTCTGTTGGCTCCGAGGCAGGTTTTGGAGTAGAACCAAGAGGTAGAAAGGCAAAGTCTTCTACCTCTCTTGCGTAGCGGTCCATCATCCTCCCAGACATTTTGGCACCATAAGCACCAAACAGTCCACCGATAATGATAGAACTGCCGGCAACAGCACCAAGATATCCAGCAGCAACAGTTGCTCCAAGTCCTAAGCCGCCCAGAATAGTTCCGACGCCAGCGGCGACTAATGGTGCAGCAAGGCCTCCAGTCACCCCAATAAGCGCCGCGCCAGCCACAGACGCAAGCCCAACTTTCCATCTCCGGCTGATCTTGCTCTGATCTGCTCTGCGCTTGAGTTCTTCTTCAGCATGGTTCATCTCCTTCACACTATCCAGAAGCACATGGGCGACTTTCATCTCATGTTCTGACACATCTGCAACTTGTAGGCCGAGTTGCAAGGCCACTCTGACAAGAAGAACGCGTGAATGTGCGTTATAGTGTTCTAGACTGAGTAATATGAGGAGGAGGGAATTAACAATTAGGTCCTTCGTTTCACTGGGTAGCTCTTGTAGCGCACAGTCCTGTTGTCCCAGTCCACCTTCATCCAAGTCAATCAAAGACTGCTGTGCTTGCCTAGGTTTCAGAGGTGCTCTCCCATTCGGGTCCTGAAGAGCCTGCCTAACTCTGGCTAAGACTGCATCTCTCCACGAGCCGAAGTGTCGAGACGCCTCCGCTTCCGCTTTTATCGCCGCAACCGTGGTAGCTGACCTCACAGGTCGTTTGGGACGCTGTGGCTGGTCCGTCTCATTGCCAAGGAGGTCGACGTCTTCCTTTCCACTGTCCAATGCATTCCCACGCGATAGGCTCCCCTTCATCTCTGGCTCCGCACGGGGGCAGAGCAAGTCTTCCATGCAATCCGCAGTGTTGAGAATGAGGTCGATAAGGTCACAGCACTGTGAATCGCTCAGGGCCTCACGAATATCCTGGGAGCGCGCCTGGGAGCCATCTCCTGGCTGCTGATGTGCATGCTGGCCGCCAGCTCCTGTACTGTAGCTAGCCATCATAAAAAGACGTTATACTCCGTACTTATAGATACCAAGAAGCTTTGGGTTTTGGCAATGAATGCTTTTTCGGCGATGATCACTCGTAAAAAAGAGAGGGAAAACCTGGTTTTCTTCCTTCCAAGCGCCCTCCTCCCCCAGAGCCTCACCGAGTCACGCTCGTTTTCCAGGGATCTTCAACTCTTCCAGGGCTTCCAGGGCTTCCAGGGCGCTTCCGGCTTCCTGCAGCATGTCTCAGAGAAAGTGACACCGTTCGCAGCGTCGCCATCTTGATAGCACGTGACGTCACGTGTAGGACACAGCAGCAGGAGGAAAAGAGTCGACAGCGACGGCGAGGACGGACGAGAAGAACTTAGCCAGAGCCGGTCTGGACGACAAAGTAGCGGCCCATGGTCTTGCTGGCGGCCTTGAGGGCGTCTCCATCCCACGCCTCGCCGTCTGGCTTTTCTAGTTTCTCGGCAGGTTTACGACGAATGCGCCTGGTCCGGCCGACGAATTCCTCCCGCTCCAACGCGGACTTTAACAGAGCCAGATCGATTGTATTCTCCTTCTGAGCGTCGGCGGTTTCGTCACGTATGCTGCGCAGCGGAGTCACGCCCGTGGTGTTGACCTGCTGTATCTCCTTCACGAAATGTATCTGCGACGCCAACGTCTTGAGCATCTCGGCCTCTTCGGCCTGCGAGGCGGGCTGTGGGAGAGCAGCGAGTCGAAGCAGGTGTCTGAGCTGCTTCGGCGAGATCCCGGCATCGTCTTCTTGTTGAGAAGCAGGCAGAAGCGACTTGACGGACCACGTTGGCTTCGAGAGGAGCGCGCTCACGTCCGTAGGCGCTGCGGTTGAGTAGTAGGCTGGGCCGGCTGCAGGGCTCCTGACCAGCCAATTGGCCCGTATCAGGGCTCTTCGGAGCGCTGGACCTGCCACCATCGTAATTGCATATATTAATCACCGTCACTGTAGCGAATCCGTGGATAAGAGAGCCGTGTTGTGTTTGGGGAGCAAAAAGGGACGATGTTGATGGCTGAGAAAAAAAGATCCAGAGCGAGTCCGGCGAGGCTTGGCCAAAAACGTCACCCCAAACTTCGCCCGGCGGCTTTGCTGGTCCTTTTTTTAACTAGCAAACCACCAGACACAGACGGACTCAGCTCTGCACCAGAACAACATCGCGTTTGACACGAGAGGGCATACTGAAGGCTTGTATAGCTCAGAAAGAGGCCAGAGACTGCTGCAGAAATGTCGGAACAGGATCCCCGGGTGCTTCTGCAGAAGGTATGTGGCCAGAATACCCCGCGAAAGACACAGCGTCTACGCCTGCTAACGCTCGCTGTTTAGGCAGACAAAGCCCTCCAGAGCGCTTCCGGAGGCTTCAGTTTCTTTGGAAACAAGACGGAGAAGTTTGAGAATGCCGCAGATCTATACACACAGGCCGCAAACTGCTTTAGAGTACAAAAAATGAGTCCGTCTCCCCCACGTTGTACTTTTGTATACAAACAGCCCGTCCGGTACACAGCCAGCAGAGAGAAGCCAGCTAACAGTTGAACTTTGATAGACAAGGAGGCGGGAGCTGCATTTGAGAAGGCTGCTGCTATATTTACGTTGAACCTGAACGAGCCAGGAGACGCCGCAAACACACTCACAGAGGCCTTCAAGGTATACCGGAAGAGCGACCCAGAGGACGCTGCCAGAGTGCTTCAAACGGCTATACAACACTACATTAGTACCGGAAACTTCAGAAGAGCTGCGTCTCACCAGCAGAACCTCGCCGAGGTGTACGAGGTTGAAATCGGAGACGAGACCAGAGCTCTTGCAGCTTATGAGAAGGCAGCCGAGTGGTTCGAGGGCGATAATGCCGAAGCGTATGTGCTTACTTCCTCGTATCTATATGTACCGGGGGTTCAACTCTCTAACATCCTACAATCAGTCTCGCCAACAAGCATTTCCTTAAGGTTGCAGACCTCGCTGCTTTAAAGGGCGATTACGCCAAAGCAGTTGCCAATTTCGAGAAAGTGGCCAAGTCATCAATCAACAATAACTTGATGAAGTGGTCCGTAAAGGAATACTTCATGAAAGCTACCATGTGCCACCTCGCCTCAAAGGTATCGTATTATGTATCCTCTACCCTGCCAACAGCTGCAGTTCAATATAGCTGACGAATGGACCACCCCCTGACAGGACCTTGTTGCTACTAACCGTGCTCTCCAAAGTTACTGTGAACTCGACAACTCGTTCCAAGGCACACGGGAGTTTGCACTCCTTACAGACCTAACTCAGGCCGTTGAGCAGGGAGACACGGATGCCTTTGGCGATAGACTCTACGAATACGATCAGCTGAGCAAGCTAGACAAGTGGAAGACGGCGATATTCCTCCGAATAAAAAATAATATCGAAGAAACAGGGGAAGACTTCTCTTAGGATGTACATGTTGATATTACCATTTCCTTGTTCTTCTTCTTCTTCTTCTTCTTCTTTTTTAATCTTGAAGTCATCAATATACGCCCTCCATGTCCACAAATTTCGCTTCCTAAATGGCTAATTTATGCTGTCTTATCTTAATATACTGCCCTGGCCATATGGTGCTTGTTTTTTTAAGCTTTAATCACGCTCTGATATCATGGTACAAGGGGTGGTAGACATGCATGTCTCTGGTGGCTATCCCAGCCCTACAGGTTCTCTTCCTAGTAGTCACCTCGATCTTAACTTGCATCAACCAATTTTTCGGTTAATTCCCAATCGCTTCCGTAAGAAACAGCAAAGCATCATCCAAATATTAAAAATTTAAATTAGAGAGTCCTAGACATTACCGTGATGCCATGCATAATGCTCGATTACCATCCCAGAACTATTTTTACCTGCCTTCCTTTCCTCATTTCCATCTCTTCACTCCAGCCTAATAGCAAAATCTTCTCCTACAGTAATAGTGACACACCTATCGCCGGCATTGCCCGCATTTTCACCCTGGCCACGGTTCTCCTTCAGCAAATCGGATTTCAGGTAATGCTGTACCATCTGGGATTGAACGGCTTTGAATACCCCTTGCTCAATGGAGCGAGCACCAAGTTTGATAACGTAGACCGTCGTAGCCAGGTTGTCACAAGCTTCAACTTGGGCATCCAGGATGAATGTGACATTGTCTGATTCACCCAGTTTGGCATGGTGTAGGGAGTCATGGAACTCAGCCAGGCTATCAGTGGCCTTTAGGAGATATGAGTGTGCGAGAACGGCTGCTTCCGTCTTGGAGAACGGGGTGAACGGGATGTAGCATGATACATGCCCTGCAAGAGAAGTCTAAATTATTTCGCTAGTAAGCATTCTGATCGGACATCCAGATATGGGGGAATAATTAATATTGGGCTGATCAGTCCTTACTCCTATCTCCTTTTCTAGGTCATTCGCAACGAAAAGCTCTAGTTCGCGGTGTAGGCGAGACTCCCAGTTTGCCGTGTCTGCAAGCTCTACTTCGAGCTCTCTCGAGTTGAGGTCATAATATTCCATTACCTTGTCCTCTCCACTAGAAGCAGCAATGATACACAAGGTATTTGATCGGTCAATTATAACCTTCTCTCCTTCACTTAGGTAGTACCCTATAGACATGATTAGCCATGGGTCAACTATACATCAACAAGAGCACCGTATCAAAACCACTCACATGCATCTTCTCCTTCTAAAAAGGAGAGTAGCCGCTGATACTCGGCTTTATCGCCTTTGTCAACAAAGATAACTTCCAGCTCACCAGGTGCGTTGGTAGGGCTTGTGTCATTCGACAGTTCTTCATCTTCACCTTCGCCTGGATCTGGATCTACCCTCTGCAGGCTGGAGATTGGTATGAATGTACCCAGTTCTTTGGCAAGGCTGGACTTGCCATGGCCGGCTGGCCCAACAAACGCCATAACCAAGGGAGAGTTTGTTCGTGTCATGAACTTCATGATTATAAACATCCTCACCCATTTAATCGCGGTTCTCTGCCCAATCAACAAGTGTTCTGCACGCGTTATTCTCTTGATGAACGGCAGTAGGTACATCTCAACGCTTGCCGGGAGAGGCGGTAAAGTCCTGGTGGCCTGGAAAAGACAGTGCCTGATTGAAACGTTGACACTTTCTTCAAGGGTATCTTTCAACGCTTTCAATCCAGAATCCATGAGCTCGTCATCATCGTCTGGTTCAGGGCTCTGGTATGTGAAGACTCCGTGTTCCCAAAGAGACTTGGGAATCGAATTTGGATCAGCGCCCGCGGCCAAAAGCAACTTGACAATCGAGACTGAAGTTGAGTTTCTGTTCAATATGGCTGATGCGATCAAGGGGATCTCAGAATTGTGCACCCTCCCGTTGGGATCTGCTCCATTCTCAATGACCAGGTCAACAAGGTCCGTCCGGCTACATGCTATGACTGACAGCAATATGTCCAGTTTCTCTTCGGGCGAGATGGTATCACCGCCCCCCGACTGGGAGTAATTTGTGAGAAGCTCTTTGATAAGGTCATAGTCGTGTCCGGACTCAATCGCCCGGCACACAATCTGCGAAGGCCGGGTAGCCTCAGCAGTCTGATTAGAGGTATCAACCGAGTCAAGCTCCTAAATGTACCGAAAAGAATGGTTCCCGCCATGGTGTGAGAATGCTTTCATTTCAATCATCTGTTTACACGGAAAGGGGGGTAAACATCACTTGATGCGCTGTCAACAATACCTTTGAATCGCTGGTCTCGCTCCCAGCAGACAGCAGATCTATAAGATTCTTCGTCTCAGGTCTGTCCTCTCGCCACGCTGATGCTAAACGACAGTGAGAAAAACTGCATAAACAAGCCGCCGGGCGGGAGAGCTATAGGGGGGTTCCTTTTTTTTTTTTTCTTTCTTTTCTCACCATATCGAGGGGGCTTTGGCGGCTTAGCAACCCGATCGGTATATTCATGGACGAACTTGCATTGGTCGGCGCTGTGTTTGCAGCCTCCATTTACCCAGTAAAAGCACGTAAAGGCCTTTTTAGTAGAGTTTGTTCTTAGCATAATGGTGGAATAATACACGATATCTCTCTAAATCAACCGGCTATTGCTGAAGACGAGGAGAAAGTATACTGTGCGATCAAGGGAGCAGGACAGGTAAAAAATCGAGCAAACGGGCAAAAGCAAGACAGAAAGAAAATACTAAGCCGGGAAGAGCTGTATTTCACTGACCATTTTATTCACTGTTCCGTTGCAGTGAATCAATATACGCGCTATGAGTGAATGTAACAAATATCAAAGGAAGTTCAGGGAGGGAAAAAAAAATTTCAAGAGGCTAGAATTTGGTTCCGCGAGCTAGTCAAGTTAGTTTGTAGGTTAAATACAGTGTTGCTGCGCCGGAGAACAGGGACACTCCGGGCCTTTGGAGGAAATCAACGAATGGCATCGGCTGTGCATGACTCGAAGGCGACCTCATGTACGGGATAGGGCG